TTGTAGTGAAGAAGTTTAGAAAAGAGATGACTAAGGGGGGGGGGACATGATAGAGATTAATAAAATTATGCATGGGTTGGAGAGAATTGACAAAGAGAACTTTCTCTCCCTCTCCCAAAATACTAGAACTCAAGGGCATCCAATGAAGCTGATGGGTGACTGAGACAAAAGGAAATACCGCTTTACACAGAGAGTGATTAAACTGTGGGATTCACTGCCAGAGAATGTAGTGATGGCCACAGGAATAAAAAGCTTTCAAAGGGGGATTTGATAGATTCAAGGAGGATAAGTCTATCAATCGCTACTAGCCATGGTGACTAAGGCAAGCCAGTTTGGTGTAGTGGTTAGGAGCACAGACTCTAATCTGGGAGAACCAGGTTTGATTCCCCACTCCTCCACATACAGCTGCCACTGTGACCTTGGGTCAGTTACAAGTTCTCTCAGACCTGTTCTCTCATGAGCAGTTCTTGGAAGAGCTCTCTCAGCCTCACCTACCTCACAAGGTGTCTGTTGAGGGGAGGGGAAGGGAAAGGAGATTGTAAACCACGCTGAGACTCCTTTGGGTAGTGAAGGACTGGGTATAAATCCAATCTCTTCTTTCACATTCAGAGGCACTAATCCTCTGAATCCCAGAGCGAAGAGGCAACATCAGGGGAAAGCCTTGGCCTCTCTGCTCTTTTGTTGGCCATCCAGAGCAACTGGTTGGTCACTGTGTGAGACAGGATGCTGGACTAGATGATCCAGCAGGGCTCTTCTTATGTTCTTATGTTAAGCAGATTTGGGAAAGATTGGAGAAAAGCTGTGGAAAACCTGGGAGGTGCATGAATGCAGGGATGCTACAAGGGTCAAGCTACATCAAATAAAAAGATATCAAAATATTTATTATAAGGTGGGGTCAAGCTACATCAAATAAAAAGACATCAAAAGAAATATTTATTATAAGGTGTACACAAACGTATAATTAAAAAGATAAGGCCTGGATATAATTTCACTTGCTGTAGCTTGACCCTTGTAGCATCCTTATATATTTCAGGCTGAGTCTGTTTCCCCCTTCTTCTTTGCTTGTTAGGTGCATGAATGCATCACGATGCAGTGGAGTAGTGGTGGGTGGTGGTGGGAGGGACTGCTTCCCAACAAAATTGAACCCAGGGCAAAATAACCCATATGGGGAAAGTCAAAGACTTCAAAATAGTCTTTTAAAAGTGTCACAAGGCTTCTTTTTATGTTTGCAGCGACAGACTAACACGGCTACTCTTTTGAGACTCGGCTGTGGTTGAAGACAGTGTTATCACTGCACTATAAACAAGCAGTTGCCACTGAATTTCCCTGTGTGGACACAATAGTGTATTGATGTGTAGCTGCAGCCGTCATGCCGAATTCTTAGTCCAGCATTCTCACAGCCACACGGAGTCACACAGCGCAGAGTCCACAGAAGAAGGGAAGGAAGAAGGGAATGAAAAGAGGAGAGGTCAACCACCTCCTCTAATATGATCATGGAACCCATCCCATTTAAAATCAAAGACAGGTGGATGCTGGAGAAAAGCCTGCCTGTTCCAGGTGCCACGGAAGCGAGTCCTCGCGCAGGTAGCCTAAGACAGTTTCCACGTCTTTGTTCCCAGCCACCTCTGAGCCTGCACCTCTTCCATACTCACACTGGCGGCATTGATCTCGGGAGAAACAGGCTCACAGGAACGGAGAGAGAGGCTGGCGGATAAGAGGCCCATTCGGACACAGCTATCTGTGTCCTCGCCATCGAGCAGCCCAGCAATTATTCCAGCCATTAAGCTGAAGAGAGAAGAGGCCATTTCAGACTCTGGAGTACTTTGGGCACATACGTACGACAGACTTAGAGTGCTTTTATGCCTGTGTCATGGTCCCCTCCTCCCCCAAATCCTGAGAATTATAGCTAGAAGAACATTATCTGTTAGAAATTGCCAGTCCACTTCACAGAACTACAAACCCTAGAGTTTGCATTACTGTACTGAAGAGGTGCCCAGACTGAAAGTGCTAATTGGCTTGAGGTCTCTTGGAGTCAAGCTACCCTGTTCCAGAGACACAGGACTGCTGCTGTAAATGGCATCTCTGTGTCAAAGACTCTCCTCTTGGAGTCAAGCTACCCCTTTCCAGAAACACAGGGCTGCTGCTGAAAATCGCATCTCTGTGTCAAAGATTCTTCTTTTGGAGTCAAGTTACCCCTTTCCAGAGACACAGGGCTGCTGCTGAAAACAGCAGCTCTGTGTCAAAGACGCTCCTCTTGGAGTCAAGCTACCCCTTTCCAGAAACACAGGGCTGCTGCTGAAAATCGCATCTCCATGTCAGACTCTCCCAATCCCCTGCAATGCATGACAGGCAGCACTAGCATCACATCATTATCCTCACACTCAGCATTTCTTGTCCTGGATAATGGACTGAGGGTCATGTCTACATCACCAGTTTTAAATCAGTTTCAAAATCATTTAACCATCCTGGTTCCCCACAAGAAATTTTATGAATAGTAGAGCAATAAGTGGGGAAAGCATCGCTAACTTTCATGAATGCAATTTCTGGTGGAAACAATGACTGTTAAAACCCGTTTGAAATAGATTTACACGTGCAATGCAGATACACTTCTGTAAATGGGTGAAGTGCCGTAAGTTCCTGCTTCTGTCATTGAAGCCTAAGGTAATCCAGAAAAGTGGACGCCTAATCAATCAAAATTCTCTCGCCATTCAAAGGTGTTGAAGCTTCCCATCTAGGCTGCGTAGAGCCTGAACAGTACTCCTCTCCACTAAAGTGGGGTTGTGCTCCTAAGAGGTCCAGGTGGCTCTCACAATTGCTACATTATCTAGAGACATTGGGGAAAGTGGTTTTTTTCCAGTTTCTTCCTGAGTTTTAATTGCCTCCATTTCCTTCTCTTTCACAAAGCCTCCGAAAATGACAGCTTACAATAACCTTCCTGTCTTTCGCCACCTCCAGATAAATATTTGGAGCAATTATTCCTTAGCGATGCCGCGTACATGCATGCTCTGTTATGTTGTCACAGCAACTTCGGGGGGGGGGAGAGCACAGATCAAACAGAGGAGAGCGGGGGAATCCCATGGCTACCTTGAGCAACTAAGCAACATACCTGTCACCTGCTCCAGAGACATTCACTATCTCCTCCACGGGGACTGGGATCGCTGGGTAGTGAGTGACGCACAGCTCACCTGTCGTGGTCTGGGGTGTAAGACAAAACAGTGCATTCAATTGTGTAGCCAGAGAAGAACTGTACTGCATGATCCTCTGCTGTTCAGATAAATATTTTAAATGAAAGGGGGCCCCCATTAATGGCCACTGAAATCAGTGGAGTTCACGCAAGAGGAGAATTTACCATTCATTTCTGCACAAGAAAAAGTTGCAGTGGATTGGTTTTAGAGTGCCTTTCCCCTCATTCATTGATAAGCATCCCACTCTATACTACAGCTGAATTAATCCCAAGGAGCCCTGAGAACAGTAATTTTACGTGCAGACTCAGGTGTCCAGGGACAGATAACCAAGGATACTATCTTCCGTTCTATTACACGCTCTCCATCTGTGATTCCTTTCCCCTCCCATTTTCCATGCCTTTACCCACTTCATATGTACTCCCTTTGACCTTGATCTACCTTGCTACAAGATCCAGGATGAAGAGAGACACTCCCGTCCATGCTCTGGCCACACACGAGGACGCCGTGCTGGCCAAGTGTTACCACCACACAGTGCAACTCTCTCAGTAAGGGGAGGACAAGGGCCACGGCAGTCTCGACGACGTCTTCCAGCTTGGATGGCAGATCTTTAGAGAGATCAATGGATGAAAAACTGGTCACGTGACATCAAAGCCATAATAAAATCACACCCCCTACCACTAAGCCATTTTAGGAAGATAAACAAAATCCTTTGTCTAGATCTTAGCAAACCACACAGCAGTCTCGATCTTAGCAAACCACAGATTTCGGCTAAACATTCAGCAGTCCCAGTCCCAGAGACATTAGGGGTGTGGAAGAGGGAATGCAACTGCATACAAGTTTGCTTCAGTTCTGACTCTAGAATTCAAAGAATTAGCTGGAGTCTCTACTGCTCAATAAATGAGCTGCAAAATGATAACTGGGCAATTGCCAGGAATAGCTATCAATCTGGACAAATGCAGTGCATCGATCCCTCCCCCTGTCACATTGCTGAGTCTACAGACCAACTCCATGTGACGCTGGTTCTGGACCAGGATTGAAAGCAGTTCTCTCCATACAGTGCACATTGTATGACAAAGGTAAAATTCTAAAAGTCTTAAGGAAGAGCTGGTTTCTTGGCCTCTGCACTATGAACTGGAAAGGTGGAGATAACATGAAAAGTATAGGCCTCGGGCCCGTAGCTATGGTGGGGCCTCCCGGGGCCTGCCCCACCCCCAGCTTCCTCCTAAGGCCCCACGACTTTTGGGGAAGAAGCAGGGGGAGGCCCTGCATGCACCTGCACTCCAAGCAGGCATGCACGGGGCCTTCCTCCACTTCTTCCCCAAAGCTTTTAAAGTTCAAATGCATTGAAGGAGAAGGGGGCCCACGCGGCCTGCATTCCAAGCCACAAATTTGCAGCTTGGAGTGCAGGTGCGTGTGGACGCACCCCCCCCTTCTCCCCCAAAGCATTTAAACTTTTTAGACTTTTTAGAAGGCCCTGCAAATTGAAAAATCCTGGCTATGGGCCTGATAGGTCTCCATCCAAGAGTCTGTCCCATAATAACATAAGGAGGACACAGTTCAAAGGATGATGACAAGCTTTGCATTCCAGGCCCAGTTTCCAAGTTCCTTGACTCAGTTTCCAGCATCTCCAGCTAAAGGGCCCTAAAGCTGAGAGAGATACTGGAGAGCTGCATTCAGAATAAACACTACTGGGTTAGCTGGGCCAAGGTGTAATTCAGTATAATGCATCTTCACATGTTAATAGTGGAAAATATGTTTCCTTTATCAAAGCGTTTCACCTGCTGGCACAGGGTGTCCCAGGGTCCGGCTGATTGCCCTCAGCTCCCGCAGATTGGGAGAGACACAGGCCAGGGCTCTCCAGCTGTCTGAGAAGAACGGCTTGGAAGCCTTGTCCACATCTGTCGGCTCATAATACACTTCAAAACAGCAATGCATTAGGTTAATCACCCCAACAGATTTGGTACATGTTTTATTTACTTGTCCAACTAATTTGTAGCCTTGCCTTTCCCATTAAAGATGGCCAAGGTAACAACAAAGCTAATAATTGTCAAAAACAATGATTAGAGCTGCCACTCTTGAATTGGTCAATGTGACTCAGCGGTTATTAATCATTATCAAACCTCAATAGATAATTAGCCAGAAGCACTACTGAATTAGCTAATAGCCCTAACATTCAGAGATACCATTATTAAAATATCACAGTAAAAACCACTCTGCTTGTTACTGAGTTAACTTGAGATTTTATCACCATATACATTCTCAGGAACAAAATGGGCTCCAGATTTTGACTCGGTGCTGGATTGGTCTTTGCATTCATAAAACACAGTAACAAAAACGTGTGACAACAGTGTTTGGGTAGCAGGTGAAAAAGCTGGCGACTCGAGTGCACGGAACAAGTCTGTTTGGGAAGAGGACCCAGTTTAGAGCACGTGCTTCGGATGCAGAATGACCCAGGCTCCATTTATACGATCTCCCATTACATGGTCTCCTGAATAAGGACTGAAAGAGACCTCTGCCCAAGGCCTTGCACAGCCACATCCAGTCAAAGCATCCAGTAATGGACTAGGCAGACCAATGAACTGAATCACTACAAGGCAACGTCACAAATTCCTGTTGGGTGAATTCAAGTAGCATCACAGTTGCCCACTGAGTGGCCCTGTTTGGGGGTCAATGTAGCCTCAATTAGGACCATGTGTAAGCCTTTGATGTGCAGCCTGGCATGCAGATATTAGGTACAGTGTAAAAACATAAGAACACAAGAGAAGCCATGTTGGATCAGGCCAATGGCCAATGCAGTCCAACACTCCGTGTCACACAGTGGCTAAAAACACCAGGTGCCATCAGGAGGTCCAGCAGTGGGGCCAGGATACTAGAAGCCCTCCCACTGTTGCAGATACATTCTCAGGAACAAAATGGGCTCCAGATTTTGACTCGGTGCTGGATTGGTCTTTGCATTAATAAAACACAGTAACAAAAACGTGTGACAACAGTGTTTGGGTAGCAGGTGAAAAAGCTGGCGACTCGAGTGCATGGAACAAGTCTGTTTGGGAAGAGGCACGTGCTTCGGATGCAGAATGACCCATGCTCCATTTATACGATCTCCCATTACATGGTCTCCTGAATAAGGACTGAAAGAGACCTCTGCCCAAGGCCTTGCACAGCCACATCCAGTCAAAGCATCCAGTAACGGACTAGGCAGACCAATGAACTGAATCACTACAAGGCAACGTCACAAATTCCTGTTGGATGAATTCAAATAGCATCACAGTTGCCCACAGAGTGGCCCTGTTTGGGGGTCAATGTAGCCTCAATTAGGACCATGTGTAAGCCTTTGATGTGCAGCCTGGCATGCAGATATTAGGTACAGTGTAAAAACATAAGAACACAAGAGAAGCCATGTTGGATCAGGCCAATGGCCAATGCAGTCCAACACTGCATGTCACACAGTGGCCAAAACCCACGTGCCATCAAGAGGTCCACCAGCAGGGCCAACTCTAGAAGTGCTCCCATTGTTGCCCGCCAAGCACCAAGAATACAGAGCATCACTTGCCCCAGACTTAGTGGCTAATACCTTGTAGCTAATAGCCACTCGTGGACCTCTGCTCCATAGGTTTATCTAATCCCCTCTTGAAGCTGTCTATGCTTGTAGCTGCCACCACTTCCTGCAGCAGTGAATTCCATGTATTAATTACTCTTTGGGTGAAGAGGTACTTCCTTATCTGTTCTAAGCCTACTGCTCATTAATTTGAGTGCCCATCAATTCTTGCATTGTGAGAAAGGGAGAAAAGTACTCCTTTCTCTATCTTCTCTATCTGATGCATAATTTTGTAAACCTCCATCATGTCACCCCCTCAGTTGTCGTTTCTCCAAGCTATAAAGCACCTTAACCTCTTTAATCTTTCTTCATAGGGACGGTGTTCCATTTCTTTAATCATTTTAGTTTGGTGTAGTGGTTAAGTGCGCGGACTCTAATCTTGGAGAACCGGGTTTGAGTCCCCACTCCTCCACTTGCACCTGCTGATGTGACCTTGGGTCAGTCACAAGCTCTGGCACAGCCGTCCTTGAAAAAGAGCAGTTTGTGTTAGAGTCCTCCAAGCCCCACCCACCTCACAGGGTGTCTGTTGTGGGGAGAAGAAGGGAAAGGAGATTGTAAGCCGCTCTGCTCTGAGACACCTTTGGGTAGTGAAGGGCGGGGTATAAATCCAATCTCTTCTTCTCTTCTTCTTTTCTGCGCTTTTTCCAGCACTATAACTATAATATCCTTCTTGAGGTGGGTTGACCAGAACTGTACATAATATTCCAAATTTTGGGGGGAATTCCAAATGGAATTCCAAACACCATTGATTTGTCCAGTAGGTTCAACAAAAAAGAAAATGTTGGCTAAACAAAGAGCGAATACATCTTATAAAGGGCAACTGGGAATAATGAAGAATCAATATAGCATCAATTAGGCCCATATGTCTGTCTTTAATTTGCAGCCTGGTGTGAAGATACTAGGTATAATATAGGTTCAATTTACGAGAAAACGTCAACCAAATGAAGAGTAAACATTACTTATAGAAGACAAGAGGGAATCGTAGAGAATCCCTTTTGGTTTGGATATGGGCAGAAAAATACTTCAAGCTTCATTTAGGGACCAACACACCAGCTCTTTTTTGTTTGCCGCCACAGCACAACTTTCGCCTCCCCACCAGCACCGGTTCCAGGATTTGGGGGGTCCTGGGCAGCAAAATATTTCAAGCTTCATTTAGGGAACAACACACCAGCTCTTTTTTTGTTTGCCGCCACAGTACAACTTTCGCCTCCCCACCAGCAACGGTTCCAGGATTTGGGGGGTCCTGGGCAGACAGTCCCTGGAGGCCCCCTCCCCCCCACTGCCCACCCACATATCCTTTGCCCACCCACTTATGCATTTGCTTGCCCTCCCAGTGCACATACACCCTTCTCCAACTGTACTGGGCCATGTGTGCAACTGGGAACACCACTGCTGGGTGTTTCACAGCCCTTCTCTTCCCAGGCACTCTGCACCTGCAGACGGGAGAGTGAGTGGAGTGGTGCAAGGGCTCACAAGCAAGCAGATGGAAAGTGGGGAGGCAAGCGGGTAGGGAGAGACAGCAGTGGGCCCCTCCACAAGACCTGGGCACCTCAGCAGCTGCCCCACCTCACGGTATGTTGATGCCGGCCCTGCTCCCCACACATACTGTTTTTATTTTACTTTACTTTGTTTATTAGATTTTTATCCCACCCTTTCCTGCATGCAGGGCTCAGGGTGGCTCACAGCAATTGAAAACACCAGACAATACAATAAAAATGTTCTACAGTTTTACAAAATGATGCACACAAAGATGGCCCATAAACCTAGGAGTGTGCTCCTATGGAGTGCCCAAGATTAAAAAAGGGCAGTGGGCAGTCACACCCAGCAGTTACTGAACATACCAGTTCGGTGTGTGGAGCAGGGGAGACCAGAATAACGAGACACCCGTCGCCTCAACCAAAGGCCCGGCTGAACATCTCCATTTTACAGGCTCTGTGGAACTGAAGCAGATCCCACAGGGCCCTGATCTCACATGGGAGAGTGTTCCATCAGGCGGGAGGCTCTGGCTCTGGTCGATGATAAATGGATGTCCGGGGGACCACCAGTAGCTGTTGTTCTGATGAGCATGACACTCTTCAAGGGACATAGTAGGAGAGGTGGTCCTGTAGATATGTAGATTCTGACCTGGACCACTCAGGGCTTTGAAGGTTAATACCATAACCCTGAACTAGATTTGGTTGGTACTCCACTGGAAGCCAGAGCAGCTGGTGAAGCACTGGTTGGATCTGTACTCTAAAAGGTGCCCCCATAAGGACACGTACCACTGCATTTTGAACCAGCTAGTTTCCGAGTCAACCGCAAGGGCAGCCCAGCATAGAGCGAGTTACAGTAATGCAGCCTGGAGGTGACCATCGCATGGATTGCAGCGGCTAGGTTGTGAGGAGAGAGATTGGTCACCCCGAGCAGTCACTGAACAGACCACCCTATAGAACCCCTATTGGCTCTATTGTAAAAATCATGTTATGGACTCAACAGAAGCTCCCCAGGGCAGTTTGCAAGAGTGAAAACCGCATTACCGGGGAGAAGGGGGGGGGGGGCTAAAGCTGCTTCTCCCTGAATGATGAGCAGGGTATGACTGGAAGGCACAAAACTCCCGTTGTGCACGTGATACAAAGTCCCCGTGTTGCTCCCCAACAAGCAAGGACTTTTCAATGTGTAGCTGGAGCTTTTAGATGCAAGATGATTATGGCTAGATTTGATTTTCACTGGGTGAATGGAAAAAGGGGCTAGCGCCTAAAATCGGACTGCGCTTTGTGACTGTCCCACAGTGTTGCTTCTTACCTGCTAAGTGATGTTCTCTGGCAAACTGACAGACATACTGAATGGTGGAAACTGGTACATTCCCGTCGATGCATACCAGCGGTGCCCGGCACAGGTTCTCCCTGAATCCAGACACCTGAAGGGAAGGCAGAAGGCGGTTGGCAATTAGTAGCTTATTTGAGAATATAGATCCCTCCCTTCCTAAAACAAAAATGGAGAAGCCCAGAGTTGGACATGTGCCATTTAACCTGAATGTTCTGGCTGCCCTGGTTGATTTGGGATCGATTGATAATATTGGGTGGTGAAATACTGTAATTCCCTTTTCTTTTCCTCCTTCAAGCGATACATTTGGAATCAAACCAGGACCCTTATTGCTGTCCACGAATGGCTTGAGGATCACCAGCAAAAAGATGCTTCCTTTCCACAAAGATCTATTTCTGGTGGGTTGACTGGTGTAGCATAAGTTGCGTTGTGGACCTGAATTTCCCTCTGCGTCTCAGCATGGTACGAGGTTCTGTGGACAGAAATCCTGCTTCCCATTTGCTGGTCTATTATCCAGTTGTCCCCTCCCTCTTAAAACTGTCATTTTCCCTGGACTACTGGCCTATGCTATGTGTGGGCGAGTTTCTCTGATCAGATTATTCCAGTGGGTTGGGAATGTGTATTTCTCTCCTCCCCCTGAGGTTGATCTAGGAAATTGACCAAGATGCGGGTGGGGAGGAGGGGGGACTCCCATGAGTCCCTGTAAAATTCCAGGTGCCAGGAGGTCTAGAAAAAGGCTCCTTGTAATTTGTGAGATTACAGCTGCCCCCAAAGTGCTTCAAAAAGCGGAAATTTTTATTTCTATCGTACACAACAGAGGCTATTTATTTATATCCTGCCTTTCTACCCAATAGGGACCCAAAGCAGCTTAAACTACACCAGTTTGGTGTAGTGGTTAGGAGAGTGGACTCTAATCTGGAGAACCCAGTTTGATTCCCCACTCCTCCACATGCAGCTGCTGGGTGACCCTGGGCAAGCCATAGTTCTCTCAGAGCTGTTCTTGAAAGAGCTCTCTCAGACCCACCTACCTCACAGGGTGTCTCTTGTGGGGAGAGGAAGGGAAAGGAGTTTGTAAACCGCTCTGAGACTCTGAGTGAAGGGCGGGGTATAAATCCAATCTCTTCTTCTCTTCTTCTTCTTGTCTCCTCCATTTTATCCTCCCAACAACCCTGGGAGGTAGTTTAGGCTGAGAGTGCATGTGTTGTGGACCAGCCAAGGTCAGCAGAGCAAAGGGAATCTGAAGACTCCACTGAGGAAAAGACAGCCAAGGTGTTGCAGGAAGAGGCTCTCTCTGGGGGGCCAGCCATAGATCCTCAGCCAGGAACCATCACATTGGCCCTTCAGCTCCCCAACCCTGAGCTGACAACAGAGAGCCAGTTGCTGGTCAGTTCCCCACCACCACCACCACTAGACTCTCGGGAACGCCATAGGACAGTGGTGGCAAACCTATGGCACGGCATGCCATCGCCCCAGCCAGGCCCAGACCATCATTCAAGTGTTGAATTCTCTGCCAAATAGTTTTAAGTAAATGAAAGCATTTGGGATTTCTTTCCTTACTTTGTTTGGATCGTCTTAAGTTAATGTATGAGTTGTTTTTTCTAAAGTAAAACCTCAGTTTTCAGGTTAAACTGCCGTGTTGGCACTTTGAGATAAATAAGTGGGTCTTGGGTCGCAGTTTGGGCACTCGGTCACTAAAAGGTTCGCCATCACTGCCATAGGAGGAGGGTGAGGAGAGACCTTCAAGACATAAGCCACAGTGCCTGCCTGGCAGCACAGCTATGGCCCAGCACCAAGAGCGAGGATGGGTGCTTGCAGGAGCAGGACTGAGGCAGCTGCCAGGTGCATGATGCAACACAAGCTGTTGAGCAGCGTGGTGCTTAAAAGCAACAGAGAAGGGAGTGGCTGTGTGGAAGCAACTTGTCTGATAGTTACTAACCTTGCTGCTTCTGCTCTGGATGGCCCTCTGCGTCTCTGACCCTGCCGTGTACTTTTGTATCATTGCTCTCAGATCGCCCTTTGTAGCTGTGAGTGTTGCCTACTTTGTGCCTGAACCTTGGGACTGGATTTTGACGCCTGGCCCTGGAGTTGCTCTACAAACACGGATGCCTGGAAACTGCATCTGTGTGCCTGCTCGGAGGAGGCCAGCTACCAGAACAGTGTGACAGGTGCAGGGTCACCCAACAAGCTTCCACGGCAGCGTGGAGATTTGAATCTGGGTCTCCCAGATCCTCGTCCAACCCTTTAACCACTGTACACAACACTGTCCCAACAACTACATGGCCTGCCAGCAGCTCTCCAGGAGCTCACCCAAAATGCTCTTTGATGGCCTTGCTGCCATTTTGCCTGGACTACTGGCCTATGCTATGTGTGGGTCTCCTCCTTTTTGTATCTTGTATTTCATCAAGAAATCACTGAAGGCAGCATCATAGCAGAGCATCTATCAACAAGCACAGGCCGATGGAAATTCTGAGGCTGTTCAATTTGCAGGGATCCTAGGGAATAATAGATCACTTAATGGTTTTGCCCGCTTTTTCCCTTCCTTCTGCCTCTCCTCCCTTTCCCCACCCACATTTTGTTAGAAATCACCACTTTTTTCCCCTCCAGGAATGAATCTTCAGCTTTTTTTTGAGGGTCTTGATGATAAATGAATAACTGAACTTTATGCATCTTCCTAAATAAACATTATTGGCTGTTAAGTGTCGGCTCTTAATTTTTGTCAACAGTCCTCTTAGTAGGGGAAAGGGTGGTGTTGCACCTGAATGGTTCCTAATCACCTCTTCCATTAGCTTCCCAAAATATTCCCCCCCTAGCCACCAACCAGACAGTGTTTATCTGCGTTTCTACAGCACGGTACATTCTAGAAATACAAGAGCTGTGGGGGGAGGCGGTGGAAACTGGAGAAATGGCTTTCAGCACCGCACCACCTTGTCGGTCTCCAAATTGCAAGAACAAGCTCGCTGTAGGTGGCCATGAACTCTGCAATTGCTCAAAGAAAGCTGCCTTTCCTAGAATGACAGCTTATCTGAGCTGGCTACAATATCATGAAATTGCTTATCAGGTGACTCTTCGGTAGGAAAGTGTGGTAACAAATTGGGGTTCTGCAGGGGCGTGCATGTCCCCTTCGTAGACCTTTAATGGCTGTGGCCAAGGAGCCCCCAGGGACTGGAGGAGGTGGGGAAGGTGTAGGGCCATGTGTGTATCTGTGTAACGAAATCACAGTTCAGATGCTCTAGGAGACGGAGAAGCAGAAAGGCTCTGCTTGAACTGGTTGAGGCACCTTGGGGGCACAAGCATCCCCCCCCCCTCTCTCTCGGGGATCTGGTGTGAACACACAAGAACACTTGAAGCTGCCTCATACAGAACAGAGACCATCAGTCCGCCAAGGTCAGTATTGTCTACTCAGACTGGCAGCAGCTGTCCAGGGTCTTCAGCACGTCACCTGATCTTTTAAACATGAAGCTGCCCTGTGCCATCAAATCAGTATCGTCTACTCAGATTGACAGAGGCTCTCCGGGGTCTTAGGTAGCGTCTTTCGCATCACTCACTACCAGACCCTTTTAGCCCGAGCTGCCAGAAATTGAATCTGGGACCTCCCAAATGCCAAGCAGATGCTTTACCACTCAGCCACAGCCCTTCCCATGTGGGACAGCAGATCTATTGCCTTGCAGGAGTGCCTCTCTGCCTCTATCCATTCTCCACTTGTATATTTGGAAATAAAGCAAATACTATAAAATGCACCATAAGACTCCAGTGGTCTTTCCTAGAAAGACAACCAACCTGGCTAGCTCCTGGAAGAAGCGGGACAGTGGGGATTTACGAACTAGCCTTAAACCAAATGGATATCTCCACTGTTTCCGCTGGCATCCCTTCCATCACTGTCTAGTCCCAGATCTCCCTTTGTTTCCCTTTGCTTCATCCTCCTTGGAAGCTACCCCTGCGCCTTAGGAAGGGAAAGGACAACAGAAGCAGGATTGCCAAACTCCAAGCGGTGGCTGGAGATCTCCTGGGATTCCAACCAACCTCCAGGCAACAGAGGCCAGTTCACCTGGAGAAAATGGCGGCTCTGGAAGGCGGGCTCTATGGCATGATACCTCATTGAAGTCCTTCCCTCCCAACCCCACCCTCCCCAGGCTCCCCCCTCCCCCCCAAATCTCCAGGTATTGCCTGTCTCAGAACTGGCAGGAGCCCTCCTTCCTGAGCTGGGACAAAAATGTGTGAGCCAGAGGCTAAAAAACTGTGAGCTAGCTCACTCTAACTCAGCTTAGAGGGAACACTGGCCCAGAGGACTACTATTCCTAGAATAATTAGTAGGGAGGGAATAGAGACTGTCTACAGATTCTGCCTCAACCCTGCCATTTTTAAAATGTCATTATCCCATTCTGCACTTTTGTGAGAGGTAACTCAGATATTGTATAGGACCCCACGGTCTGTGGATACAAGGACCACAGATGTTTCTCACGTCCCCTTCTTTCCAGCAGTCCTTTCCAATTTCAGTAGTTTATTCCTCAGGGATACATAACTCATTTGGTCTTGAAGTTGGGTTGCCAACCTTCAGGTGGGACCCAGCCTGGAGATCTTCCGAGACTGCAACTATCTGCAGGCAACAGAGATCAGTTCCCCTGGAGAAGCTGGGTGTTTTGGAGGGTGGACTCCATGTCTCCATACCCACAGAGGTCCCTCCCCTTCCCAAACCCCACAGTCTCCAGACTCCCCCCTCAAATCTCCAGGAATTCCCAAACTCAGATTCTGCAGTCCTATCTTAAAGCCATGTGGGCTGGAAAGCTGCAGTGAGGAAGGGGAAGGTAGTCAAATCACCCTGTCCTTTCTCTTATATCAGTGTGCTGATGGACCAATGGAAGAGGCAGAAAGAATGATTCCGTTCCCTTTCCCCTCCCTACTGTATGCTCCTGAGCCATGTGGCTACACAGGTCCCAGGACCCCAGGAATAAATGTTCCCATGATCAGAAAGGACTTCTTGGGGAGGGGAAGGAAATGCAGGATAGATATGTGACCATCGGTGCATTTCACTAATCGTTTGCTGGATCCAATGCACAGTTACTGAGGACAGGAAGGGACTGCTCCCCACAAGAAACATATGCTGTTTTTTAGACCACACATGATCATTCCATAGAACTTAAGTAAGTTATCTGGTTATTACAGAAAATAAAGAATAAGCACAAAAAACCTTCTCCACAGACTGTTTTTCCTTGTACTTAATCTTGCACAGATCCAAGGATGGAACTTCAAACTCTCTTGTTAATCTTGCCTCCCCCCCACCCTCCATAAACACCTTGAACTGGCACCCTGGTGGCTAACCAGAGCAGTACAAAGACAGATGTAATAGTCATTAAACATTTTCAACACCCCCCAATGGTTTTGTCAGGTGGAAATCTGAACTTCATGTGTTTGAAAGCTATGCAGCCATGCCAATATGTAAACACTCTGGGCAAAATAGACAAGGGAATTTCCTCCTGCCTAAGGAGGGATGGGCAAGAACAGGCTCATGAACTAAAGTTCGTGATGAATTTTGGCTGGTTCGTGTTTCACAAAGACAAGTTTGTGTCAGGTCAACCAAAATGAAGTTTCCATGAACTTTCAAGCTGTCTGTGGAGGTTTGTGTCAGTTCATGAGCGGATACATTTCTTGACAGACTGTCTCTGCTCAAGCAAAATGTTTATAAAACTTCAAAGCAACAACTTGGAGGGCACATAGCGGAGTATCCGGGGGAGGTCCCCTGTGAGTTTGGTGTCTCTAGCTTGCACAGGATCTGTTCTATACACTTCTGAACCTGCACCTGTCAAAATGATGGTTTTGACAGGTGCAGGTTCAGGAGTGTATAGACCGGATCCTGTGCAAGCTAGAGACACCACACTTGCAGGGGATCTCCAGCTGACTCTCTGCTATCTGCCCTCCAAGTTTGGTGAGGAATGGATGTATGGGACCCAAGTTACAACTCCCAAAGATGGTGCCCTCAGAAAAGTACTTTCTGGGGAAATGACAGGCAGTCATTTCCCCAGAAAGCACCTTCTTTGGGGGACCCTAGCTCAAACCCTGTAAATCCAATCCTCACCAAACCTTCTTTGGGGGACCCTAGCTCAAACCCTGTAAATCCAATCCTCACCAAACATGGAGGGCAGGTAGAGGAGAGTCAGCCGGAGAGTTTAATGTATCCAGCATGATGGGGGGGGGGAATTCTACCAACTCGCAAACCAAACCAATTTGTGAGGTGGCTAAAAGTTTGTGATTGTCCGTGGTTCACAAACGGGGCACACGACAAACTGAAATGCATTTTCCCAGTTCGTGGCCATCCCTATGCTTAAGCGCAATCAAGTGAATCAGACACATGCAAGAGTTTGCTGCCTGAAGTATGGCAGTGCGTACAGTGTCAGCACTGCAAGATCAAACCGACCGTCAGATGGCACTCAGTAAAAGCCAAAAACCATGCAGAGTAGGTTATAATCGTTCTTTGAGCTACCATATGCCTGCAGTGACGTAGGACAGACTCAGAATGCTCATCCTTCCCCATTGCTGAGATAAAGACAGGAATTTTCCCAAGGCGACTTAAGCAATCTGAAAATTAAAAAAAGGAGAGAGAGCTACTCACTCAGTCGTTTCTTTTCCACAGTCAGCTGCAAACAGAGCCAAAACCGAGCGCCATACGACCCTGAATATAACACTATATTCCCCCATCAAAATCAAGCAGTGCCTATTCCCACATCAAGTTCTTTCTACGTACTTACACAAATGCAAGCACTATTCAGCCGAAGTTTTAATTCTCCCTGAAATTTTCCTGTTTTTTCTTTATTTGAATCTTAATTAATTACTTCCTTTCACTCACAGCTGACCATGTCATGTTACTCATGAATTCTTATTCCTGAGGTTTGGTGCAGGAGGTATGGGAGGACTTAATTTGTGCGGTTTATTTTTTAAAAATGCCGTGGGGGGGGGGAACAGGGGAAACCTGTGCTTTCCCTCCCACATGGCAACCATCCAGGCTTTGTTTCAATCTTTCTCAAAACGTCCCGGCCAAGCAGATTGGGAAAGAGCAGAGAAAAGCCAGGGAAATCCCAGGAGGCAGCACGATGCCGGGAGGAAGTGGCGGGGAAGCCCCACTTCCCAACAGCATCAAACCCATATGGAACAGGTCTAAGATTTTTGTCCTGGAAAATATAACCAGCACAGTTCTGATTCTGACAACTGTGTCGGTATCACATGCCTCTTCCATTTCCACACAAGAATATTTACTGAAAACAAGGTTTGCTGTATCTCTTCTGCTACTCACAGAAACAGAGAGATTTCATGTGCTACAGCATGGAGAGAGAAAAAGCACCACTGCCACTGAAATAGGGGGTATGCTTCTATGTGGAGATTTTTCTCTACATAAAATGCAGGAAGCCACCAAATTCTAAAGGGCCGTCTACACAACATCATCTTCATTCTTCAGTCTCAGGGAATTTCCCTTCTAAACCAGAGCAAAACAACAGCGACAGCCCTCATTTGATCCAGCTTGAATATGGGAAAAAGCAGGGGTGCCTGCAGGCCAAGCATCCATCTGGACATTCCACTCACAGCCCAGACTCTGCATTCCCTCAATTCCCTCCCCTTTCAGCCTCCTTTAGGGCTTTTTCACTTTCACAGCTGATCCCAAGTCATCAGGGGTGGTCTTACTGATTCTGGCAGGTAAAAGTCCAAGGTGGGCCCCCCAAATCACAGCCCCCTTCCTCCTTGATCCACTGCCCAGGCCACCCCAGCCTCAACCAAGGGCCATCCCTTGCCCTGTGTAAGGTGGGCAGGTGGGTGTGGTAGCTGGCCAATGCCTGAGGCCACGAAGGGTCCGACAAACACGCTGCACAGCTGCTGGCTCTTCCTCTTCTCTCCACCTCCGTTAAGGGAGCGAGGCTGTGGGAGGTTGGCCTGCCCAGCCTGGGGCTCAGGGCAGCTGTCCTGGACACTCTGTGGGTAAAGCCACCCCAGTGTGTGGTAGCTACAGCACATCTCATCTGGGAAAGTGAAAGAGGTAAAGGGGGGGGGGTGTTTCCAGATGACCAGGAGGATGGCGTGATTGTTGTTGCATCCAGGTTTTGGGGGCCCTGGGTACCCCCTATGCCCCCTACTAGCCCTCTTTTATTGCCTGCCCACTGGCATGCTCTCACCAGCTTGTGCATCCTTCCTCTACCCACTCGCAAGCTCTCCCACAACCTTGCCCGCACTGCCTGCATGCTCTTTCC